CTATTAATGAGATGCAATAAAAAATGGAGGCTCTAACTGCTAGGATAAATGAGGCAGAAGAAAGAATTAGTGACATAGAAGACCAAACGATGGAGAATAAAGAAGCTGAGAAAAAGAGAGATAAACAACTACTGGATCACGAGGGGAGAATTTGAGAGATAAGTGATACCATAAAGTAAAACAATATTAGAATAATTGGGATCCCAGAAGAAGAGGAAAGAGAGAAGGGGGCAGAAGGAATATTGGAGCAAATTAAAGTGGAGAACTTCCCTAATCTGTGGAAGGAAACAGGCATCAAAATCCAGGAGGCACAGAGAACCTCCCTCAAAATCAATAAAAATAGGTCATCACCCCGACATATAATAGTGAAACTTACAAATCTCAGAGGCAAAGAGAAAATCCTGAAAGCAGTTCAGAACAAGAGGTCCTTAACCTACAGAGGTAGAAACATAAGGCTGGCAGCAGACCTAACCACAGTGACCTGTCCGGCCAGAAAGGACTGGCATGACACATTCAGGGTGCTAAATGAGAAAAATATACAGCCAAGAATACTTTATCCAGCAAGGCTGTCATTAAGAATAGAAAAGACAAAGAGCTTCCAGGACAAACAGAAACTAAAAGAATTTGTGATCACTAAGCCAGCCTGCAAGAAATGTTAAAGGGGATCCTTTAAGGTGAAGGTAAGATCCTACACCTCAAAGGTGAAGAGAGAGCCCAAAAGTAACATAGACCAGAAAGGAACACAGACAATATACAGTAACAGTCACTTCACAGGTAATACAATGGCACTAAATTCATATATTTCAATATTTACTCTGAATGTAAATGGACTAAATGCCCCAATCAAAAGACACAGGGTATCTGATTGGATAAAAAAGCAAGACCCATCCATATGCTGTTGGCAAGAGACTCATTTTAGATCCAAAGACACCTCCAGATTGAAAGTGAGGGGGTGGAAAACCATTTATCATGCTAATGGACACCAAAAGAAAGCTGGGGGTAGCAATCCTTATATCAGACAAATTAGATTTTAAACCAAAGACTGTAATAAGAGATGAGGAAGGACACTATATCATAATTAAAGGGTCTATCCAACAAGAAGATCTAACAATTGTAAATATTTATGCCCCTAACATGGGAGCAGCCAATTATATAAACCAATTAATAAAACAATTAAAGAAACACATCAATAATAATACAATAATAGTAGGGGACTTTAACACTCCACTCACTACAATGGACAGATCATCTAAGCAGAAGATCAACAAGGAAACAAGGGCTTGAATGACACACTGGACCAGATGGACTTCACAGATATATTCAGAGCATTCCACCCTAAAGCAACAGAATACACATTCTTCTCTAGTGCCCATGGAACATTCTCCAGAATAGATCACATACTCAGTCACAAATCAGGTCTCAACTGGAACCAAAAGACTGGCATCATTCCCTGCATATTTTCAGACCACAGTGCTTTGAAACTTGAACTCAAAAACAAGAGGAAATTTGGAAAGAATCCAAATACATGGAGGTTAAAGAGCATCCTACTAAAGAATGAATGGCTCAACCAGGAAACTAAAGAAGAATTTTAAAAATTTATGGAAACAAGTGAAAATGAAAACAAGTGCTCAAAACCTTTGGGATGCAGCAAAGGTGGTCCTAAGAGGGAAGTACACAGCAATGTAAGCCTTTCTCAAGAAATAAGAAAGTTCTCAAATACACAACCTAACCTTACACCGAAAGGAGCAGCAGAAAGAACAGGAAATAAAGCCTAAACCCAGCAGGAGAAGAGAATTAATAAAGATTAGAGCAGAAATCAATGAAATAGAAACCAAAAGAACAGTAGAACAGATCTACGAAACTAGGAGCTGGTTCTTTGAAAGAATTAATAAGATTGGTAAACCCCTAGCCAGACTTATCAAAAAGAAAAGAGAAAGGACCCAAATAAATAAAATCATGAATGAAGGAGGAGAGATCACAACCCAAACAGAAGAAATACAAACAATTATAAGAACATATTATGAGCAACTATATGCCAACAAATTAGGCCATCTGGAAGAAATGGACACATTCCTAGAGATGTATAAACTACCAAAAGGTAAATAGGAAGAAATAGAAAACCTAAACAGACCCATAACCAGCAAGGAAATTGGAGCAGTAATAAAAAATCTCCCAATAAGGGTGCCTGGGTGGCTCAGTCAGTTAAGCATCTGCAGCAAAGTGGCAGGATATAAAAATCAATGCACAGAAATCATTTGCATCTCTATACACTAACAATGAGACAGAAGAAAGAGAAATTAAGGAGTCCATCCCATTTACAACTGCACCCAAAACCATAAGATACCTAGGAATAAACCTAACCAAAGAGGCAAAGGATCTGTACTCAGAAAACTATAGAATACTCATGAAAGAAATTGAGGAAGACACAAAGAAATGGAAAAACGTTCCATACTCATGGATTGGAAGAACAAATGTTAAAATGTCTATGCTACCTAGAGCAATCTACACATTTAACTCAATCCCTATCAAAATACCATCAACTTTTTTCACAAGGCTGGAACAAATAATCCCAAAATTTATATGGAACCAGGGAGGCCCCCGAATAGCCAGAGGAATGTTGAAAAAGAAAACCAAAGCTGGTGGCATCACAATTCCAGACTTCCAGCTCTATTACAAAGCTGTAATCATCAAGACAGTATGGTATTGGCACAAAAATAGACACATAGATCAATGGAACAGAATAGAGAACTAAGAAATGGACCCTCAACTCTATGGTCAACTAATCTTCAACAAAGAAGGAAAGGATATCAATGGAAAAAAAACAGTCTCTTCAATAAAGGGTGTTGGGAAAATTGGACAGCCACTAGAATGAATGAAACTAGACCATTTTCTTACATCATACATCATATACAAAATACACAAAAATAGATGCAAAATGGATGAAAGACCTAAATGTGAGTCAGGAATCCATCAAAATCCTAGAGGAGAACACAGGCAGCAACCTCTTCTACCTTGGCCACAACAACTTCTTTTTAAACATGTCTCAAAGGCAAGGGAAACAAAGGCAAAAATGAACTATTGGGACTTCATCAAGATAAAAATCTTTTGCACAGCAAAGGAAAAAGTCAACAAAACCAAAAGACAACTGACAGAATGGGAGAAGATATATGCAAATGACATATCAGATAAAGGGCTAGTATCCAAAATCTATAAAGAACTTATCAAACTCAACACTCAAGGAATAAATAATCCCATGAAGAAATTTGCAGAAGACATGAACAGACATTTCTGGAAAGAAGACATCCAAATGGCCAACAGACACATAAAAAAGTGCTCGACATCACTCAGCATCGGAGAAATAAAAATCAAAACCACAATGTGATACCACCTCATACCAGTCAGAATGTCTAAAATTAACAAGTCAGGAAATGACAGATGTTGGGAAAGTTGCAGAGAAAGGGGAACCCTCTTACACTGTTGGTGGGAATGCAAGCCGGTGTAGCCACTCTGGAAAACAGTATGGAGGTTCCTCAAAAAGTTAAAAATAAATCTACCCTGCAACCCAGCAATTGTACTACCAGGGGTTTATCCCAAATATGCAAATGTAGTGATCCAAAGGGGCACCTGCACCCCAATGTTTATAGCAGCATTGTCCATAATAGCCAAGCTATGGAAAGAGCCCAGATGTCCATCAACAGATGAATGGATAAAGAAGATGTGGTACATATATACAATGGAATACTACGCAGCCATCAAAAAATGATATCTTGCCATTTGCAACGATGTGGAGGGAACTAGAGGGTATTATGCTAAGCGAAGTAAGTCAGTCAGAGAAAGACAATTATCATCTGATCTCACTCATATGTGGAATTTAAGAAACAAAACAGAGATCATAGGGGAAGAGAGGAAAAAATAAAACAAGATGAAATCAGAGAGGGAGACAAACCATAAGAGACTCTTAATCATAGGAAACAAACTGAGGGTTGCTAGAGGGGAGGGAGGCAGGGGATGGGATAATTGGATGATGGACATTAAGGAGGGCACGTGATGTAATGAGCACTGGATGTTATATATGATTGATGAATCCCTTAACTCTACCTCTGAACTCATAATACATTATATGTGACTTAATTGAATTTAATTATAAAAATATTATTGAGGATATTTCATGCAGTAAAATAAGAATTTTAGACAGTACAAGTCCTGGGGAGTTCTGAGAAGGTACTGCAATACTTAGATGGGTGGGAGGATGGATGGATGGATGGATGGATGGATGGATGAAAAGAAGGAAAAAAGGGAGGAAGGATTGCTAATATTTGTTCTGTGTGGAAAATCTTACTAAAGAGATAATATCCCTTTTGCTTTTTTCACATCGCTTCTACTAACACCATTCTCAACATCCATGAAGTTCATTTAGCACCATCATGACATGTAAATACATCAGAGCCATATTCTTTATGAATTAAAATTAGATACTGTAGCTTAGGCAATACTTATTTTTCTTAGCACCGTTCACCCCCACCTTCTTCAAAACAGAGTTGTAAGGATCTGGTAGGAGCCATATATCACTCTGCTCCACTATTTTCAGTAATTAGGCAGTGGGCCTTGTTCCTGACTAGGCAATACCCAGGAGATAACCAGAGGTGGTAACATAAGCACCAGCTAGAGTGAGGATAGCAGAACACAGCCACTGTGAATTGGCCCAGGGAAACTTGAAAAAACTTTAAATAAAAATAGGGATAAGCAATCCTCCATGTCCCAGCAGAGTATGCTACTCCAGAAACGCTGCGGCTCTCCTGAGTTATTTCCAGCCAGGAGGAAGAGATAATCAGCATTGGCTATTATCTGGGCCAAAAGTGGCCTCAGGCCCATGAAAATTAAAAGTTGGTTTTCTATGGTCAGCAAGACCGTTTTAGCAGGCCCCTACGGGGATACTAGTACTAAGCTGGCCCTACACAGGGCTGGATCCCCCTGGCATCCGTGTTTGTACTGTTTCTCACCTCTCTGGTCCAGAGCTGATGAACCAAGGATGCACACAGGACTCTCGTCAGGCCAAACAGGGCCTGAATCTCTCCATCTCTCTCTCTCTCTCTCTCTCCATCTCTCTCTCTCTCTCTCTCTCTCTCTCTCTCTCTCCAAATTTGCACTGGGCGATAAGAAGCTGGGCTGCTCACTTGAATGGAGGATGAGTATACTCAGGAGCAGAGGACAGCTGTGTTTGGATTTACACATGCCAAAGTCAGTCTGCAGGGAGAATGAGAGAGAACAGAACCCAATGGGCACAGTTAGTGAGACAAAAATTAGCTGCTTGTGTTCTTGATGGATTCCAAGTCCTCGTTCCAATCCTTCCTGAAACCTGGCTGCACTTTCTGCCTTCCTTGGGATATTCTATTCTTAAAATAAATTTCATTTTTGCTTATAGTGGTTTGAAATAAATTTCTTTTACTTGTCACCAAAAGAGCCTTGACTAATGAAGCTACAGATATTATTGTATCATCTACAGTATTAAAATCTTTTTGTTGGGACACCTGGGTGGCTCAGTTGGTTAAGCTTCTGCCTTCAGCTCAGGTCATGATTCCGGGGTCCTGGGATCGAGTCCTGCATCGGGGTCCCTGCTCAGTGGGGAGGCTGCTTCTCCCTCTGCCTGCCACTCCCCCTGCTTGTGCTCTCTCCCTCTCTCTCTCTTTCTCACTCTTTCTCTGACAAACAAATAAATAAAATCTTTAAAATAAAATTTTATTTATTTGTTTATTTGACAGAGAGAGACACAGCGAGAGAGGGAACACAAGCAGGACGTGTGGGAGAGGGAGAAGCAGGCTCCCCGCTGAGCAGGGAGCCCGATGCGGGGCTTGATCCCAGGGCCCCGGGATCATGACCTGAGCCGAAGGCAGACGCTTAACAACTGAGCCACCCAGGTGCCCCAGAGATAAAATCTTTTTGTTGATGGTCACCTATAAAAGGTAGGTGGGGGTGAGACTTCTCCGGTTAACCTTTTTATGTAGTTTTGACCTTCAAATTATGCAACTGTATTACCTATTCAAAAAATACTTACTTTAAAAATTATTGTTGAAATAAGTTCTGCAAATAGTGGTTTATGTTTTTCGCATCAAAATTCAGGGCACCTCATATTTAATGCAGAGTAAAACAACAGGTCAGAATTTTAAAACTCAGTCCCATAACTATTAGAAGTTTTACAGTGGAGAATCAGCAGATATGCAATAAGATAAATATTTCCTATGTTTAGATAAGAGGCTTGAACTAAAAGTATGACTTGGTATCCAAAGAGGAACTCAACCTTCTCCATGGAGCTCTCTGTGATGCCATGAAAACTCCCGACCTAGAGAAAACGCACAAACTGTAAAACATGCAATTCCAAATGGTTCGTGCACGCTTTGAGGCCCATTCATGGAAGCCAACATAGGACAACTTAATGGGTGGTGAATTTACATACCTGAAAGGACGAAATAATCACACAGTGGTACTAAATATTGTAGAGTGTGGCACAGAAAAAGAGTGTTAACAAGTCAGATATAGAAGAGATCAAGGGATCTGAATGATTTGAGGGGATTTTGGGGGGAGCTGAGAAATTATCTCAGTCTCAAAATATTAGCAGGATTTGGGGACATAGAAGACATAAAAAATAGAGCACAGGCATAGTGTTGAAAAGAACAAAGCATGCATGGCAACCATAAGGACACGGGTCTAGCTGGGGCAGGAGTTTCTGTAGGATATGGACAGCACCTAGCACAGAGTTTGGGGTTTGGGTACCCAATGAATAGTAATTATTATTGTTGTTACTACGATTACAAGAGCAAGATAAGGTCATATAGGTAAGTGAAGACCATATTCTAGAGGACCTTGAATGTCAGAGCAGTTAAGACTTTTCAAGTCATTGTATGTTTTTAAGCAGGAAAAGAATTTGATTCAGTCAAACTATTTGGAACGCATAAAGAATGACTTGGAGAAAGTGAAGGGAGAATAGGTAGTAGGAGTATTTCACTGGGCTTTGTAGTACTAAAGGTAACTAGTGTTTAAACAAGGGTGGTAGAGGGGCACCTGGGTGGCTCAGTCCATTAAGCATCCGCCTTTGGCTCAGGTCATGATCCCAGGGTCCTGGGATTGAGTCCTGCATCGGGCTCTCTACTTAGTGGGGAGCCTGCTTCTCCCTCTCCCTCTGCTCCTCCCTCCCCTTGTGCTTGTGTTCTCTCTCTCTCTCTCTCTCTCTGTTAAATAAATAAATAAAATCTTAAAAAAAATAAACAAGGGTGGTAGAGTGGAAATAAGACATATATTGGAGGGACTTAAAATGGAGAGGACTTGAGGACTATATATTAGTGATATATAGGGGATAAAAGAGAGGAAATAGTGAGAAAAAAATATTTTAAATTGATTGTATTATTATTATTTACCTATTAAATGTTACTAAATTAACCTGTTTATAGATTCCCCAACTGCTGCCCTATTGGAATGTTTGCTCTGGGTAAAAGGTACAAACATTCTCAAGGAAGCCACCCGTAGCTTACAGCAAATGCAGCTGAGATGTGACGTAGGAGGGAATCGGGTTTCTCCTCAGCCATGAACAGCTTTTAACTGAATGTGTAGGTGGTGATAATGTTAAATGTACCACACAAAATCACAGATTCTTTTTTACTCATAAGGAATTTCTATGATATACGTGCCAGCTTACCAGCCACTTGCAGCCTTGTCTATGCTTTTCACAGCTTCTGCTGTGTAGATGAAATTTTAAATGAACTCCTCGTAGTAGGATCCAAAACATTCTCGTACTGTGTAAGCACGATTCATGGTAGTTGGAGGTTTTCCTTCTCTCTTGCTGATCACAGTGGGTCTGCTGCTACTGCTGGAGCTCAGCACCAAGAGGGAAAATAAAGTGGTGCTTCTTGTTCTAAGAAAAATGGCAGGGGGTTGGGGCAGGACAGAAATGAAAGTTTTAGAGATCCTCCCTATAGTCAAGGTGTATGAACTTTGGTCAGTCACAGGATAGCTCAGTCAGTTGTCCCTGGCACACTGCAGAGTCAAAAAGGCAATACTGGCTTAAGTTGTGGTTTTCAGAAGGTAGTGTCATCGGTAAAGAACTGACACAAGAAGTCAGAAAACATGGTGCCCATATCAGATTTATCTCTCACTATGGAGATGACTTGGAGCAAGTCAATTAATCTTTTTTTTTAAACCCGGCCTGCAGCAAGCTATCATTTTGAGAATAACTGAAATGTTGTTGTCAAAGCTGTTTGTAAACGTAAACCGGTGCAGAAAAATAAAGTATCGCTGGGATTTTTTACTTTTGTTTTACCTGTGTTGATTCTGACTCCCCAAGCACAAGATCTATAACTTGGGCTTCATTGGTTTTCTTTTTCTTTTTAAAAAAAAAATACTTAATACATACAGTGAAAACTTTATTATTTTTCAACTAATGATGCAGGGAAGGGGAAAACTCTCCTGGAATGTCGTTGGCTAATAGGAAGGAGCTGTACTCAGCAGATGGGTATCTTGCTATCTTACCAGATCAGTAGTAAGAGAAAGAAAGAAGGTCAGAGTGAGGAAGAGAAAAAAATAGTTCTTTGAATTTCTAACAATCTCTTGAAAAACACATAGAATTTAGTTTTTTGTATGTGGTTATTTTTCATTACAAAAAGCCAGTTCAATGTCCGGGACTCCAAAAGGAATGGGAATGGGGCAATAAAATTAATAATAGTATCCTGATAATTATTATTTTAGCATTTTAATGTTTTCTACTTTTTTTGAAGTTTCATATCTTTTCTTATCATCTTAGTTATCTTGATAGCGTATGGTTGTTACATTTTAGTTTTATCTGTTTTTCAAGTACATTGATCCCTTAAGCAACGTCTGTTGAATTTTCATGTCAGTTGAAGTCATGGGTAATTTCTGCATTCTTTTCCCATCCATGTCTATTCCTTCATTTAATAAATATATATGCAGTGCCTACTCCACGCTGGGCACTGGTTATGGCGTGGGAAGCAACAGAGGCGCAGTCCCTGCTCGTGTGCAGCTTTCAGTCCAGTGGTGGAGTAAGCCCAAGACTTCTTGTTGGCCCCCAATAGCCATTTTCCCCTTCTTCATTAGAAAGAGACCCCCAATTTGTTATGCTGAAGAATTTTAATAGCAATCATTCTTCCCCTAAATTTTAATATGCATCTTTTAAAAATAAGAACATTTTCCTACATAGCCAAAATAACAATCATAGCTGACATTAATAATTCCTTAATAGTTCCTTTTTTTTTAAGATTTATTTATGTGTTTGAGAGGGAGAGCTGGGGGGTGCAGGGGACAGAGGGAGAGGGAGGGAGAGTCTCAAGCCGACTTCACACTGAACATGCCCATTGCAGGGCTCAGATCATGACCCTGAGATCATGACCTGAGCCGAAATCAAGAGTAAGGTGCTTAAACGACTGCACCGCCCAGGTGCCCCTAATTTCTTTTTTAAATTGAAGTATAATTAACAGTGTTATATTACCTTCAGGTGCACAAGATAGTGATTCAACAGTTCTATACATTGAATAGTCTATCATATCTTAGGGACCACCCATTTTGACATTTTTCCAGTTGTCCACAAAATGTCCTTCATAGCTAGCTCGTCCAAACCAGGATCCAGTTGAGGATCACACATCACATCAGGTTATGTCCCCTCAGTCTCCTTAAAATAAATCAGTCCTTATATTCATGAGACTAAAATGTTAAAGAAACAGACAGGAACAACTGTCTTATAGAATGTTCCAATTTCTCAATCTGTGTGTTTTCTTCCTCAGCGTATCAATTACTTTCTATTTTCCTTGTAATTCCTATAAACCTAGAAGTTATGACAAAAGGTCCAGTTAGACTCAAATATATATATATATTCTTTTAAGTAGGCTCCACACCTAGCGTGGAGCTCAACGCAGGGCCTGAGCTCATTACCCTGAGATCAAGACCCGAGCTAAGATTAAGAGTCAGTCACTTAGGGCTCCTGGGTAGCTCAGTTGGTTAAGCGACAGCCTTCAGCTCAGGTCATGATCCTGGAGTCCCGGAATAGAGTCCCACATCAGGCTCCCCGCTCAGTGGGGAGTCTGCTTCTCCCTCTGACCCTCGCCCCTCTCATGCTCTCTCTTAAATAAATAAATAAAAATCTTTAAAAAATTAAAAACAAACAAACAAAAAAGAGTTGGTCACTTAACCAGCTGAGCCACCCAGGCACCCCTAGACTCAACCATTTTTGGCAAGCTTACACCATAGGTGGTACTGTGCACCTCATATTGCATCACATCAGGAAACAGCGTATTTGACTACTGGAGTAAGGTGAAGGCAGACAACTCCTCCGCTATAAAGCTACTTTTTTTTTTTTCTCCTGTGGACAAAAAGTAATCTGTGTAGAGTTTTTTGGAGTACTTTATGAAGGTTATTTTCTCATTAGCCATTCACCTAATAGTTTTTTTTTTAATATTTTATTTATATGAGAGAGAGAGAGTGAGAGAGAGAGAGAGCACAAGCAGGGTGAGGGGCAGAGGGAGAAGCAGACTCCCTACTGAGCAGGGAGCCCGATGCAGGCCTTGATCTCAGGACTCCAGGATCATGACCTGATCTGAAGGCAGACGTTTAACCAACTGAGCCACCTAATAGTTTTAACACAAACTGATAATCTGTGCTCAAGCAATAATTTCATTAAGGAACTCACCATTTTTAACTGTGTATTTAGCCTCTTCCACTTTGAATAAAGACCACATTTACCTTCCTGATTCCTGCTGGATAGAACCATGATGACTGGAACTTGAGCAACCATTTTGGACTGTGAGGTGGAAGCCAAGCTGAATTTGGTGGAGCAGTTAGAGACAATAAATCTAGGTCTCTTATGATCATGGAACTATCAAACTAAACTTAATCTACCCACTTCTAAACTTTGTTTAAATGAGCAAAAAATGAACTACTATCTTTTCCAGCCACTGTATTTTTGGCTTTCAGCAGTTGAACCAAATCCTGACTGCTACAACAAAGAAGACAATAAACAAGAAAACAATTTTGGTAAATGCTATTAAAAAAAATAGAATAGAGGGATAGAAAACAGTGGGCTACTTAGATCAGGTGACAAGGAAAGGCCACTCCAAGAAGGTTACATTTAAGTTAAGAGTGGAATGCTAAGAAAGAGCTAACCATGTGAGGTTGTAGGGATTATCCTAAACAGGGGAAACTGGGGGCACAAAGTGATGAGGTGGGAAAGGGCTTGCTTGACATGTTCAAGAATTAAAAAGAGGCAATGTGGCTAGAGCTTAATGGTCACTGTGGGAATTTTTTTCAAGTGTAATATTAAGAGTTGTAAGCAGGATAACACGGGTTTATGTTCTTAAAAACGATTCTGACTGTGTGTGGAAAACAAATGGGGATCAAAAGTGAAAGCACTGCAGAAAGCAGGCCACTGTGGCGGTCTGGGCAAGAGAAGATGGGCTACTGTAGTGGCATTGGGGACAGGGAGTGAAGACAGGTGAGAGATGGATATGAGGGAGGAAGGGTGGAACTTGTGGTTGGGTGGGATGTAGGAAGAGGGGAGAATCAGAGATAAAGCTCAGAGATTCCGGCTTAAGCAGCTGGATAGGTGGGTGTGCCTTTTTCCGAAGCGAAGGAGATTGGGTGAAGAAGGGGCAGGAAGCGGAGAGCAGGAAGCAGCACGGCAGAGATGGCGGGGAGTCAGGGCTCCATTTGGGACATGCTGAGCTCAAGATGTTGAAGCAGAGGTGTCCAGCCGGCAATTTGAAATAAACATCCAGAGGGCGCCTGGGTGGCTCATTTGGTTGAGCGACTGCCTTCGGCTCAGGTCATGATCCTGGAGTCCCTGGATCGAGTCCCGCATCGGGCTCCCTGCTTGGCGGGGAGCCTGCTTCTCCCTCTGACCTTCCCCCCTCTCATGTGCTCTGTCTCTCATTCTGTCTCAAATAAATTAAAAAAAAAAAATGAAATAAACATCCAGAGCAAGAGAGCAATATGTGGCTTCTAGTGTTTTAAAAAATTCCACATCCACAAATTACCACCGTTGATACTTTAAAAAGCAACAACAACAACGAAACTTAGGTCTCTCAGTACTTAATCAAAAGAAAGAAACCACATGAATAAATCTATTTCCAGTAATATTAACTTAATAATGGTTTCAGGCAATGAATAAACAGAACCTTGTGTGTGTTTGGAAACATGATAATGTCAGAACATTCTAAATGTTAATATGTTCTGTTGTGGTTTGTTTAGAAATTAAACCAAAAAATAATTTGCTAATTACTTTTGGGTGTCATTTTGGTAAAATGATGTGACAGAGTACCTTCAAATTGTATCTGTTTTACTTATGACATGCTACATTAAATATTAATGTTTGATTTCAAAGATCTGAATTAGATAAAATATTAATTAAAGATAAACAATGAATTAGAACTTTCAAATGGTAAGAAAACACATGATAGCAAAATATATTTTTAAAAGAAACTTCCAGAATGATCTCAGGTGTAGATCATCTATAGCACTCTTTCAACAATCATTAATATTAAAAACAATAACATAAAAGTTTTTATTTTTATTTTTTTTAAGATTTTATGTATTTATTTAGGGGGGAGAGAAAGAGAGAGAGAGTGCGCGCACGTGCAAGCAAGAGAGAGAGCATGATCAGGGGGAGGGGCAGAAGGAGAGGGAGAAACAGGCTCCACACTGAGCAGAAAGCCCTACATGGGGCTTGATCCCAGAACCCTGGGACCATGACCTGAGTCGAAGGCAGATGCTTAACCAACTGAGCCACCCAGGCACCCTCAAATTAGATTACTATTACAGATAAACAACTTTAGTTTTTCCATTTGGAGTGCATGTATTATATTCTGTGGGTTTTTAAATAGTGCACTCAAAATAAGCCAGTAAGCATATGACAGAAAGAATGCAAATGAAATCACAGAGATAAGCTTAGCCAGTATATTACTGATAGATATCTTTAGCTTGAAAAAGCCACTGGTCCTACTCTTACAGAATATCTTCTTCTTTTTTTTTTTTCAGAATATCTTCTTTATCTAGCATTCTACTGGTGGAGCTTCTTCATACCAGAATCCAACATCATACATCCAGCACATACAAACAGATTTTACTAAAACATTGATTTTTATTTATACCACATTTTCTTCACATTTCTGCAACTAAAAGTTTTTCTTAAATCTGTCATAAAAAAAAAAAAACTCACTCATAATTTCTGTATTTCACCTATCCGCCTTCTACCACTATTTGCTAGTGTGATGGGTGTGTTGTACTTCCTCTATAAAGTGCTGCCTTTACAGACATTTTCAGACATTTAAACCAAAATGAAATCAGGTAAGACCGTACCAAAGAAAACGAATGGATGTGTCCACCAAAAGACATGTAAAGAACATTCATTAAACCTTTATTGATCTCCAAACCTTTAAAAATAAAAAATCTAATATCCATCAACAGTAGAATGGATAAATTCATACACTGGAATACTATATAGCAAGTAAAAAGAACAAACTATGGCTACACACATTGTGGGTCAATCTCAGAGAACTGCTGCTGAGCAGAAGAAACCAGACACACACATACCAAAATACAGTAATACAGCATAATTCCATTTCTTTGAAGTTTAAGAAAACACAAAACTGATCTATGTATTAAAAACCAGAACAATGGTTGCTGGCTTGGGGAGGTGTTATTGGCTGGGACGCAACTTAGTGGGGCCTTTTGGGATGCTAGAAATGTTCTTTACTTTGATCTAGGTGGTAGTATACAGTTACACATACACATATATACACGTGCATGCATATGTATATAGACATGTAGAAAATAAAGTTTAAGATTAGTGCATTTTACTATATGGATATGTACCTCAATAATTTTTTGAACTCAGTAGTAAATTATAGTACATCTTCCAATAGACCAATAGAACTTTAAAAAAGGAATAGAACTACATGAATTCAATGGGATGATACCCAAACATATTAAGTAAAAAAAGCAATTGGCAGAGTAGTTTGTTTAGAATGATCCCACTTGTGTGTATTTGTGAGTGTGTGTTTGTGTTTTAATAAATATATGTATGGTGGTATATGCATGGACAGTTTCTGGAAGAATATATAGGAAATTGTTCATAGCAGTTACCTTAGACTATTGGCATGTGGGACTAAAGGTTAGGGTTTATACATAGACTTTTTTTTCATTTTATACTTTTTTACGCTTTTGATATAATTTCTAACCTAATTTAAAAGGTTTCTTTAGGGGCGCCTGGGTGGCTCAGTCGGTTAAGCGACTGCCTTCGGCTCAGGTCATGATCCTGGAGTCCCGGGATCGAGTCCCGCATCAAGCTCCCTGCTCGGCGGGGGGTCTGCTTCTCCCTCTGGCCCTCCCCCCTCTCATGCTCTCTCTCTCTCATTCTCTCTCTCAAATAAATAAATAAAAAATCTTTAAAAAAAAAAAGAATATAACTCAAAACCAATATTATTTGATTATATATTCAAGTTTAATATTTGTTACCCAAAAGTAACTTAATAACCCCTTTTCAAATTGATTATAATTTGAACTGTTCACAAACCAATAATCTCTAGTAGTTTCTGAACCTATTAGTAGTATTACAGAAATATGATGAAAATGGAAAATCTGGTGGCAGATTCTAGTTCTTTCACTGGCTACCTGACCTAGGATAAGCTGCTTGATCATTCTGGATCTTAGTTTTCTTTAGTATAGCATGGGGAAAATAACGCCTGACCTGTAAGATTACACAAAGGATTAAATTATTGATGCATGTAAAAGCTGTTTGGAAAGTATAAAACACTATCCAAATGTAATCATTATTATTTTAAATGAAGAAAGGAAATAGCCCATATTTACTTTGAAGAGATCAAGTTTGCAGTACCTCCATATTGCAATTTCTGTTCTTCCAGACGGGTTGTTCTCCAGTCTTTGATCTCAGGATCTCTTCAGACCCTTTGCGATAATGGATTTTGGTTATTAATGTATACTGTAATAACAATTTAAACCAAAAATGTTTTTTTTTAACTTTTTTTTTTTATTTTTTGAGAGAGAGAGAACGAGAGACAGAGAGCATGAGAGGGAGGAGGGTCAGAGGGAGAAGCAGACTCCCTGCCGAGCAGGGAGCCCGATGCGGGACTCGATCCCGGGACTCCAGGATCATGACCTGAGCCGAAGGCAGTCGCTTCACCAACTGAGCCACCCAGGCGCCCTAAACCAAAAATGTTTTAATATTTATTTTAAAATAATATTAATATACTCTTCATGGTAACATAAATAACTTTTATGAGCAATAGCTATTTTTTTCTAAAACTAGACATCATTTTACATTTTTGCAAAATTTTTTGAGTCTTGCTTAATACAAGATAGTTGGATTCTCACATCTACTGCATTCTATCTGTTGGAACATACTGTTTTGATTGAAATATATGAAGAAAATTTGGCCTTACACAGTAAGTAGTTAGAAAAGGAAGTATTTCAATAACGTTTTCAGATAATTTTTTTATTTGTAAATTGTCATTTAAAAAAATTTTTTTTATTAACATATAATGTATTATTTGTTTCAGGGGTACAGGTCTGTGATTCATCAGTCTTACACAATTCACAGTGCTCACCACAGTACCTACCCTCCGCAGTGTCCATCACACAGCCACCCATCCCTCCCACCTCACACCAGTCAGAATGGCAAATTAACAAGTCAGGAAACTGACAGATGTTGGCAGGGATGCAGAGAAAGGGGAAACCTCTGACATTGTTGGTGGGAATGCAAGCTGGTGAAGCCTCTCTGGAAAACAGTATGGAGGTTCCTCAAAAAGGTGAAAATAGAGCTACCCTATGACCCAGGAATTGCACTACTGGGTGTTTACCCCAAAGATACAAATATAGTGATCCGAAGGGGCACATGCACCCCAATGTTTATAGCAGCAATGTCCACAATAGCCAAACTATGGAAAGAGCCAAGATGTCCATCGACAGATGAATGGATAAAGAAGATGTGGTATACACACACACACACACACACACAGTGGAATATTATGCAGCCATCAAAAAAAGAAATCTTGCCATTTGCAACAATGTGGATGGAACTAGAGGGTATTATGCTAAGCGAAATAAGTCAATCAGAGAAAGACAAGTATCATATGATCTCACTGATATGAGGAATTTGAGAAACAAGTCAGATAATTATTGATATAACTATTTGATACTATATCAAAACCCAGTAGTGGTAGTTCCTTAAAGGTTATTTACAAAGAATCTAAAACCGATGAACTTGGTTCATTGCTTTTTTGTGAACAAAAAGTTCTCATCAATGAACTCCTCCTCTGGGACATTAAAATCCACTGGTCAATCTTGTACTTCAAATGGCTCTTTTTTTTTTTTTTTAAAGATTTTATTTATTTATTTGAGAGAGAATGAGAGAGAGCGAGTACATGAGAGGGGGGAGGGTCAGAGGGAGAAGCAGACTCCCTGCTGAGCAGGGAGCCCGATGCGGGACTCCATCCAGGGACTCCAGGATCATGACCTGAGCTGAAGGCAGTTGCTTAACCAACTGAGCCACCCAGGCACCCCCGAATGGCTCTTTCACTCCACCCATAATTAGGGGTAACATTATTCATTGGCCATACTGAAAATATCAGTACATAGACTTATTCAGGTCTTCACACATTTCCTTATACAATACTAAAAAATCACGTTAATTGTTATCACTACTCAATTCATCAGAAAAGTCTTTTAGTAGTGGGAAACTCTCAAACTCACTGTGGTAGATACAAGTTTACCAAAATTCTGATTTTTGCTTAAAAACTCAAATTTTAACTTCAGAAAATACTGTAGTAAGTTTTTCCCCCTTTACATGAAAGGTGCCTGGGTGGCTCAGTCAGTTAAGCGCCCAAGATTTCAACTTAGGTGGAGACCTCAGGGTGGTGAGATGGAGCCCTGCGCCTGGCTCCACGCTCAGTGTGGAATCTGTTGGAGATTCAGCCTCTCTCTCTCCCTCTGCCCCTCCCCCTTCTCATGCACATGCGCGCACTCTCTCTCTCTCTCTCAAATAAATAAATATTTTTAAAAAATGACAGGCTCACTTCATTTGCTTTTCTGAAAACTTCTGCCAAACACCCAAGTTTAAATAAATAGTTTGCATTTCAGTGATTCAAGTAAACATGATGTTCCATAGAAACAAAGTGGCTCGCTCGGTTTGCACTCAAACAACTGCCTAGCGCTTTTCTTCAAGACAATCATTGCACTTTCATACTTCAGTATGCAGCCACAGCGCTTTACGTGTACTTTGCACTCTGTCACCCAGATTACTAAAACTACAGATTTTCAAGGGTCAAGATTTAACAAAGTATAATAATTTTTACTGCTTCAAAAAGGACCTTCTTAAGTGAAACTTTTTTTTTTTTTTTTTTTTTTTTTTTTACTGTGAGAGCATGGAGGCGAAGAATACAATGACAACTAGGACACTTCAGAGCCACCACCTAAGGTTTCGGCCACACACCCGCAATTCTCATTGTGTGTGCATCATCAGTCAGTGCACAACTAGTGAGGAGAATGGCACAGACAAAAGAATGGCAAATAACATCTTAATAGCATTAGGAAAAATCCTCTGGAAGTATCTCAGGAGCATCCGGGGTTTGGGGCGGGCTCACTTTGAGAACTGCTGAGCTAAGACTGTAGTCTAGCTGAAGACAACGGATGCATTTTACCTAGCTCAGCGCTGACCCTAATGAGGCTGATTAACATAGTTATGGTTATTCCAATCATGTTTCAGAAATCAATTATTGAGGATATGTAGTTCTAATTTTTATTACTGAGATGCAAAGAATGTTTTTCATCCTTAACAGCGTCCTTCTGGAAAATTAAAATTAACATTACTTGGCCCTCTGCACCTCCTTCCTCACAAAAAAATCACCAAGTCCCTATAATACTTTAAGTGTTCCTTTTAATAAGTACATTCAATTCTGCCTTTGTTTAAGAGCTAGCTGAAAATATCTGCATGGCCGGAGACTACTTAGGCATAGTCGATGAATATTAAGCAGATAGAGTTACAATGCATAGGGGATTATGGGATATAATTGTTTACCCACCTCCCAGGAGAAGAGTAGAAGTTTGCTTTATCTCTAGAAAAATTAGCCTCTAGGTTTTAAGGCACTCAGGGCAGACTTCTGCTTCCTCCACCCAACCATCCATCCAAAAATAATAGTTGAATTTTTAAGATAGGCAGTCCCCAAGAGAGGCCCAGCCAGCATTCCTGGTGGCTCCTCCAGAGCCTGCAGCTGCACCCAGTAGCCTGTCTCTGCCCAGAGTCAGTGCTGGCTTAGAGAGCAAAAAAAAAAAAGGGGTCCCAGAGTGGAGCGGAACCACGTCAGTGTGCTGGCAAAGAGGATGAGGTTGGAGGAAGACACAGGAATACGAAGTAAGCCAAGGCGATAGGGAGGATGGCAACTAAGGGGAAAGAACTAAGAGAAGGGATGAAGAACAAAGAGGAAGCACCAAATACAGGGTAGAAGGAACACATGAGCAAACTCTCTTTAATTTAAAAGTTTTGGGGTTTTTTTAAAGATTTTATTTCTTTATTTGACAGAGAGAGAGAGAGCACAAGCAGGAGGAGTGGACAGAGGGCGAGGGAGAAGCAGGCTCCCCGCTGAGCAGGGAGCCCAATGCGGGACTCGATCCCAGGACCCGGGATCATGCCCTGAGCTGAAGGCAGACGCTTAACGACTGAGCCACCCAAGCGCCCCTAATTTAAAAGTTTTGCCAGTTAGTTTATGTAATTCTGATGGCGGCAACTGTACCTGTGACAAATGGAGAGCAACCACCCTTAACCAAAGCAGAGAGACATGCAGAGCGGGGTTCCTCAAGCCCTGGCACTACTGATATTACGAACCAGGTAATTCTTTGTTATGGGGGCCATCCTGTGCCTTCCTTGTACAATATTTAGCAGGATCCCTAGCTGCCACCCGCAAGATGCCAGTAATACTCCCTCCCGGTTGGGACAACCAAAAACGTCTCCAGACATTGCCAGATGTCCTTGCGGAGAGCGGTGAGGTGAGGGAGCAAAATTGCCCCTACTTAAAAACCACCAGTCTAGATGTATTATTATCTCAGCATATGAAACTCTCCATTCCTTTCAAGGACAAACAGCTGCTCTGATTTTTTTTTTTTTTTAATGTGACTTTAAATCTCTAACCTCAGGCTGAGTTCTTGGGAATAGTTTCAAATTCTGCCTTAGTTTCTACAGTAATAATGGATTGGCTTCCAGGGGGCTCCTACTTGCGATCTGCAAGATAAAAGTGTGTAGCCGAGAGCCGGTCAGCCTGGGCTCTATGATTACCTCCTTGGGCCTCACTTTCATCACTTCTCAAAGGGGTACGATAGCACCTCACCTACCTTCTGACAGGTAATTATAAGGCCACAATAAAAGGAGATGTCAAAGTGCTTGGAAAAGTTAGGAGAAAATATAACCAGGCATAATAAACTTCAAGACGGAAACCCATTAACGAACAACGTTAAAGCGTTTGAGGCTCTTTCTCATTTTTAACTCCTCCTGATTTGCCAGGCTGGCACAGGAGTGGGACCCATTTGCCGCTAAAATACCAGTCACTTACTTGCTACTCTAGTGCAGAGAACAAATGTGATCGGATTCTATGAAAAGTTACTGCAGGCAGTCACTGACTTGCGACACTTCATCTGTAGATTAGCTCTTCCTAGCAAACAGTAGCCCAAACCCTTCACCAAAGTCCCAGCTCTGGGCCGCAGCTGTGGTTGTAACAACAAAAAAAAGCCCCAAACACACCCCAGCATCTTTTGAGACATTCTGTGGATTTATTAGTGAAGGCAGGGGAAAAAAAAATTGTAAAAGCCATAAATAGTTTAGGAGAGAGGACTCCAAATAACTCTGTGACACAGAGGTGTTGTAGTGACTGAGTTAGCTTGAGAATTTCAGGATCCGAAAGAAGAGAGAAGAGCAAGAAAGGAAAACTGGAAGATTGCTAAGATAAACTGCATTTCCTTGAGAACTTTCCAGAATACAAGAAAGTAGAAATGTTCACCCTCTTCCTTCCCCTGCTTCCTGCCCTCAGTGGTTCCCATCACTGCTCCATATCATTAAAATATTCTTCCTTCGTATGGGTGGACGTGCACAGCTTATGTAAATAATTCCTTACTGGAAATGTGTTGTTTCTAGCTTTTCTCTTTCTCCTTTCTTCCTTTCCTTCTTTTTCTCTTTCTTTCTTTCTAATTATAAATAAACTGAGTAAACAACATCAACAAATCGTTATAGGTACATATATGTTTCCTTAGATGCTGTGGAGTTTCTGGATGAGGGGCACATTTTTAAAGATTTCTTTCAAAAAAAAATTTCATTTTTGATAAGTTTTTTGAGGATTCCTTCTCTTTATCATGGTGCCATCTTGCTGTTCTAGATTTATCTGTACCACTTAGCACTTGAGCACATGCCTAATGATACTTGATATATTTTCTAATTTTGAAATTATCCAAAGGAATGCTTACATGATCTTCAAATCTGGAAATCCCTAAATATGAAGATCACAATTATAACCATTCTTTTTCTTTTTCAGGATTACCATTTGTGCTTTATACTTCTTTAAATGTGCCATATTGAGAAATTATTCAAGAGTTCTATCTTCTCCCTCCTCCCCCCCCCACAAACAAGCTTGGCCAGTTGCTGGGCTTCCTCATTCTGTCATCTTCTTTAATTGCCTCTTCTAATTTCCACCCCCTCCCCCATATAATTATTTCTGCAATTTTATGAGGCAATTCTATCAAGAGGCTTGGCTGGATTTTACATATTTTAAAATTAATTATAAACCAAAGTTTTACTGTATGTATCATGCAACCAAAACAAGACCATTCTAACACCATCTTTTCTACAGAAACCATTTTTTAAATGAAGTTTATTGCCACATGTAAACTTCGATGAGCTTTTTCTTTCCTGCCAGGGAAAACCTTTAGATCTCATTATGTATTTCTTTCCATAAATATCAAACAGCCAAGAGCATTAATTCCATATTCCAATGTGCATCTTATCATATGAAACTATTTACAGTAGTGTCTACAAATAGCTTTATAGAAAACATAAATATGCAATAGCATAACATTTGGTTGTGACTATTACAAGAAACGGTAGCAGTAACTCAGTTTTCTTGTGTTGTCCATAGGCTGAGAGCAGAAGGAAAAGGGGGGCTTTGGCAGCAAGTTGGTACACTTAAGGGAACGGCTGAAGACTGCCCCAGTATCTTCGGGGAAGAATTCTGAGAAGGACAACAGAATGCTAACATGTGACATTTGTATGAAGCTACATCACTATGGCAATGTGCAAAAAATACCAGGGAATCTCGACGGTGCCACTTGAAAATACAATCTCCAGAATTCCCATTTGTCTTCAGACTGCTCACATCCATGGCTTTCTGGGGTCATTTGCTGTTTCGATGTACTGAAAATTATCATCTACCGGCCTGACTCCCAGGTGTTGAGAACCAAAAAGAACATTAGAAGTAAGGAAAATTTTCTTCACTTACAAGCAAAGAGACTGATAAACATGTCCAGCTCACTCACTGGTAAGTGACAGCATTAGGACCTGAGTCTCACCAGCCACCAGCCACATTACCACACCCCCGAGGGCCACTCATCCCAGTCACATCACAGGCTAGGCCAAAGACACAGCATGTCCCCAAAGCAACTCACATGCCTACTCGATCAATGAAATTAGGTGGCAAATAGCAAGTACAATCTACCCTTCGCCTCGGTTTCAGGTCCTGTCTCTCAGGAGCTCACATTCTCGTCTGTGATATGCTTCAGGAATTCACCCGCTTTGCAGGTTATTGGGCAGTTAGTGATTCTAAAGCTAGCCCATAGATGAATAGCATCAAATAAGGAAACGGCAATGTAGAAATATGTTTGCCCTATATTTCTCATATTGAATAAAGTAGATTTAGAAATGATATTCCAGTTCTTCTTCTACGTTATAGAGGTGAGGAAGCAGTAACCAAAAAAATAATTAATTTTCTATTACTAAATACGTTTGGGCCTTGCAGGAGATTTTAGCCTGCCTTCCTGTCTTCCTTTCTTCCTTTAACAAATATTAAAGACCTGCTAAAAAATACTTGCAAGGTACCATTCTGAGAGTTGTGGGCATACAAAATCATTTAAAAAAATGAACTCTACTTTTCAAAGATTTACCATCCAATAGGGACACTATTTGTAAACAGAGTGAAGGGGGTAAGTGCTTTAAAAGGCAATACGTGCAAAGTGCTGTGGCAATTTAAAGGAGGGAGTAATTACTTCCAGCGAGAAAGATTCAGGGAGAAAGTGAAATTTATGGCTACTGAAAGAGAGGTAAAATTTGAATAAGTGGGAAGAGAGGGAGGGAATTTTAGATTGAGAGAGTGGAATGATGATAGAAGCAGAAAAAGCCAGGACAGGCACCAGGAAAAAGAGAGTTTGCATTCCACCTGAGCGTGGGGATAAGGATGGGACATGGGAAATGGAAAAGAAAGTAAAAAAGATCAACTGGAGCCAGCAGACCTGGTAAGATGTCACAGATCAGGAGGGTCCAGGCAAGAGATGAGGAGAGTCTGTGTTAAGGTAGCATCATAGAGGTGGGTGTGGGGAATGCAGAGAAGGTTCTGGGCACAAGAGCTCTGCTGGGAGAATCTAGGTTTGGCAGCTGATTGATCTGTCAGGCAAAGAACAAGAGAAGAGCCAAAAAGGTTGTCAAGGCTGCAAATCTCAGTGCCTGGGGAGATGATGGGGAAACCCAAACCAATCTTGTCCTCTGTGGAAGCAGAAAGTTACACCAGGGCTGGCAAGAAATGGATTGTGTCTGGGTGGTTGACTCATCATGAAGGAACAAACAGTATGTCTTCTTCCACCTCTTGGGAGGGCAGACGGGGCTTGGTGTCCTGCAGGGCTAGGCTTCCTTGCCCCAGAGGAGAGGTAAGCAACCTTTGTCCTTTCAAGTCTGATCTACTGAGTCTGTCAAGTAAACCTAAATGAGTAAAGAGCCTGGGTATCAAAACGGTTTGTGGTCCAGTGGGAACCTTGGCCATGCTGCCAGATTTTCTAATCTTTCAATGCAACCTTTTGGTCTTAAAAAGGAAAAAGAAAGGAAAACAATTTCTCATGGAAGGAAGTGACATTATACTTCTTTTTCTATATCCGGATCCCTCAAAAGGGTACACTGGCTTTACCCTATTCTCAGCTACTACACACGAGAAAATGAACCCCAAACTCATTCTTTGTCTGATTGAAATAGCATATATACAACACAGCCTTGTGTAAACGCACAAATAACATTTTGAATCTTAACATTTCTGATTATTGTACTAACTGTGAACCCAGAGGGTTTATTTGTTTCATCCTAGTGATGAAAACACCCCTTGCCTTTGTGCTAATCAAGACTACTAATTCAGGTTAGCAAGTATGGGGGAAAGGAGACCTCAACACACTTAAGTTCTGCCTTTTTCCTCATGCTGACTTTAAATACAACAGCCATTTTATTCTCCCGTAGATGGGTGGTTTACTTGGAAGAAGGCCAAAACGGAATATCATTCTTTGACATAATCACTAAGCATAAATGTGCAAAAACTTATTATCTATTATGATTGTATCTGTAATCTCTGAAACTGTGAAGATTATTTCTCATTGGCTCTACCATTTCCTGGTTTGTGGTACAGGCTGATGGAGATGTATGTATTGCTAATATAGGAACCGAGATGTATTATTTGCCTGGTGCCTTGGTCTCCACTGGCTTTCCATAAAAGCACTAGTAAATAATCCCCTCTGGGGGCGCCTGGGTGGCTCAGATGGTTAAGCGTCTGCCTTCGGCTCAGGTCATGATCCCGGGGTCCTGGGATTGAGCCCCACATCGGGCTCCTGGCTCAGCCGGGAGTCTGCTTCTCCCTCTCCCTCTGCCTCTCCCACTGCTCATGCTCTCTCTCTCTCTGTATCTCTGTGTCTCAAATGAATAAATAAAATCTTTAAAAAAATAATAATAATAATCCCCTCTGTAACTGTTTTCTACACCCTTGGAAGTTACATCACATCTAAAATGTTATTGCAGAGGGCGCCTGGGTGGCTCAGTTGGTTAAGCAACTGCCTTCGGCTCAGGTCATGATCCTGGAGTCCCGGGATCGAGTCCCGCATTGGGCTCCCTGCTCGGCAGGGAGCCTGCTTCTCCCTCTGACCCTCCCCCCTCTCATGTGCTCTCTGTCTCTCTCATTCTCTCTGTCTCAAATAAATAAATAAAATCTTAAAAAACAAATAAATAAATAAATAAAATAAAATGTATTGCAGATATATTTATCCCCCCTCCCCCCAAGTCAAGGACTCAAGAAGAGCCAAATTAGGAGCAACCACCAAAAGCTAAACCACCACACTCCCAAAGAAGGTCCCAAAATAGGCAGTCCCCTGGTGGGTTGCCTTAGCAAGCTCAGTCTTGGTGACCAGAGCCATTTCTTTTTTTTTTTTTTTAAAGATTTTATTTATTTATTTGAGAGCGAGAATGACAGAGAGAGAGAGAGTATGAGAGGGGGAGGGTCAGAGTGAGAAGCAGACTCCCTGCCGAGCAGGGAGCCCGATGCGGGACTCGATCCCAGGACTCCAGGATCATGACCTGAGCCGAAGGCAGTCGCTTAACCAACTGAGCCACCCAGGCGCCCCGACCAGAGCCATTTCACCTACTCCTGGCCAGGTGTCTGTTCCCCTCGCTATGAGACAGGACTGCTTTGGGGCCAGCAGGACTCGAAGCCAAACTCACTGGTTATGACAATGGTCGTGATTTATGGCAGATGAGGTCTGCTTTCATGCATAAACGCACTCCCCGTTGGTGTAACAACCACTTAAATTGACACAATCCTTTTAGGAGACCAATCTGCAAAATGTTTCCAGAGCCTTGCCTGCCTCTGTCCTTTGACCCAGTAATTCCACTTAAGAAAATAATCGTCCATTTTGGCAAAGTTCAGTATAAAGCAATCAATAGTTCAGCAAACACGTACTGTACTGGGCAGTGTACATCATAAATCACGTCAGATGTTGGAAATAATAAAATCATGGCTTGCCCTTGGGGACTTGACAGTTGACGGGAAATGTGTTTTCATCATTTGCTGAATGCCTACCATGTGCCAGTTACTCTACTAGGCATTTTTATGTTTTCTCACTCATTATAACCTGTCAAGTCAAGTAGTGCCACCCACGTCCCACACTAAGGTGATCGACTAACTTCCCTAAGTCATACAGCTAAGCAGCATTTCTGAAATTCAAACCCAGGTCTAGAGGTCTCCAAATTTTGTGCTTTATCCACTACACCTTGCTGCCTCATAATTTAAAACAACAATAACAACAATCAACATATCAATAACCACCAAAGGTAAACAATAAAGAGATGAGTAAATAAATTAATATCAATAGGTCGGATATGCAGCCGTTAAAAGTGACATCTGCGATGGTGAAAACACTTGCGTGTGAGCATAATAACAAAAGCAGGCTGTGAATCTGTACATGCAGAATGATCTAAAGTATGTTTAAAATAGATACACACACACACACACACACACAGAGGAAGGAAAAATACCAGTTGTGTTTTCTTTAAATAGGCAAACCTATACCTTCACTTAAATAGTACAAAATTAAGGGGAATTATAAGAGAAGTTGTGCTTCCATATGTAATCCAGATAAAGCAGCTCATCCAAGCCAGCACAATTCACTTTTTAAAGAGGGCACGGGATCCTCTCTTTTCTAACAGCCATACAAAATTTCCTCTCCCTCCTCTCCTCTTCCCTTTACCTAACCCGAGAGTCAGAGTTCTTCACAGAAATAGAATCAATAGGATGTACAGAGAGATATATAGATTGATGGTCAGGAGATGGCTCGTGCAGTTGTGGGGGCCGGCCAGTCTGAAATCTGCAGAGCAAGGGGCAGGCTTAAGACACAAGAAAGAGTGGATGCTGGTGTCTTGAGTCAAAGGCAGTCTGGAGGCAGAATTTCTTTCTTCAGTGGGATCTCAGTATTTCCTCTTAAGGCTTTCAACTGATTAGATCATGTCCACTCACAGGAAGGGTAATCTGCTTTACTCTAAGTCTACTGATTTAAATGTTAATCACATCTAAAAAAAATACCTCGCAGCAACATCTAAACATATTTGACAGGACAACTAGGCACCAAGTTGTCAACCAAGTTGACACATAAAGCTAACCGTCACGAAATCCTTCTTCAATCTACACAGAAGAAAAAGGAGTTTGTATTTCAGAGACTGTCCAAACTCATTCCATCCTTTGATGCATATTAGTAAAGGCCCCAGCCCCTAGCAATAGACATTATGACACATGAATATCATCTTGCTATACATTTGTTTGATCATAATAAATTGAATTTGTAGCTCCTTAAGGTTTACAAAATAAGTTCATGGATACATCTTGTGTGATCTTCACAACAATCCATTCTTGTGTCCTTGAAGGGCCAAAATTAAGGCCAGAGAATTACTTTTTTTTTTTTAAGATTTTATTTATTTATTTAAGAGAGAGCACGAGCAGGGGGAGGGGGAGAGGGAGAGAGAAAGTGAGAATCTCAAGCAGACTTCCCACTGAACATAGAGCTGACATGCGGCTCAATCTCACGACACTGAGATCATGACCTGAGCCAACATCAAGAGTCAGATGCTTAACTGAGTAAGGCGCCCCAAGGCCAGAGAATTCTCTTGACATGCCCAAGATTGTAGAGTTAATAGGCAACAGAGACAAGAAAAGTCAGGTCTTCTGAAATCAAGCCCCTTATATCAAACATGTATCATGGACAGAGAAGTGCCACAGGTCCTCAAGGATAGCAGCTATTTTAATTTAATTTAATTTGATTTGATTCAATTTCCCAATTCCTCTACATTGAAAACACATAAAGATGAAGGTGCCTGGCTTATTGCCCAGGAATATAAAGCTGTGTAACAAGTTCAGGAACAATCTCTGTCCACAAGTAAGTGTTTGGTTTGTTTGTTTTTTTTAACTTTGACTAAAGTACAGCGTGCTACTCAGATTAGGCATTTACAACTCATACATTTTCACAAAATGAATACCCCCATGTCACTGCTACCCAGAGCAAGAAATGGAACCTGACTAGCATCTCAGAAGCCTCTTGGGGACCCCTTCCCAGCCATGAAGGTGTTACCGCCATCTAGAAGTCTATCACCACCCACCGATCTTGCCTGGTTTTCCGCTTTACATAAATGGAATTCTATTGTATGTGCTTTTTTGTATCCAGCCTCCATGTTCTACAATAGATCTGTGAGATTAACCCACTACTTTGTTCAGCTGTGTCGCTGGTGTATAGCATTCCATTGTATCAAAAGGGATACCATTTGTGTATACAGTCATCCAGGTAACATTCTGGGTTGTCTCCAGCTTGGGGATGCTGGGAACAGTGCTGCTATGAACGTGCTTGTACATGAGTCTCCGTCCATCTACGTATGTATTTCCGTTTGGTATACACCTAGAAGCAGAATCTCTGGGTCACATACCTGTGGAAATTCAATTTTACTGAAAAGTGCCAAATAGCTTCCCAAGTGGTTGTACTGATGTACACACCACTAGCCGTTGACGAGATTTCCAATGGTTCCTCATACCATTAGCAATTGTTATCTTTTCAGTGTTATGGATATGATTTACAACCTATGGATCTCTCCAAAACAACATATACATAGGTTTGCATTTTTTTAAATGTCATATAAATGGTATCATGCTGAAAATAGTCTATGATTTATTTTTGAGATTTATTTCTATTTATACATAGAGCCCAATTTAGTCTCTTTTACTGCTGTATAACATCCCCATCCTACAAATCTAAATCCTGCCAATGCCCGTTTAGGTTGTTTCCAGTTTTTCACAATTAAAATCAATGATGCAAAGACAGTTGTTCGTGTATCTCTGCATCCACGTGTGAGGATTGCTATAGAAGGCAACGGCCGATGATAGTCTCTGCAGAGCTTCAGTTATCCTAGATACTGCCAAAATTGCTTTCCAAAATGGTTACACCAACTCCTACAGCTCCAAGCAGCCTCCAAGAGTACCCTTTGCCCCAGATTCTTGCCAATAATTTGTATTGTCGGGATTTTTAAAGCATTCGTCAAGCAGCTGGGTGTGTCACTTTCATAACTCTCTAAAGTTTTCCAAATAATTTATAAATACATACACTTTCATTTGCAAGGAGGAAGACAGCTCCATTCCCCTTCTCTCCTCCTACAGAGCCATGGTTCTAGAATGTTAGAGAGGTGGCCCAGGAAGCTGCTTGACTGTGTGTGCCGTTTGAAGATCACGTGCTGGGGCTGCCGCCCAATGCCTTGTGCGTTCGGCTGGAGCGGTGCTCTCAGGCTCACTTGGTGCTCGAAGCTCCCTTCTCCCAGCCAGGATGCGCACGCAGCTGGGAGCCAGAGCCAAACTCTAGGCACCGCCCCCAGAGGGACCTCGGGGAGTATTCCAGGACACAGGGAAGGAGGGGAAAGTGGCAATGACTTTTCCCTGCTTGGTCTGCATGAAGTCTGTCTATTTAAAAAAGCAAACCACACATGCTTTCTTTTGGATGAGCTGTTAGGGGATTTGACAATATTCTTTAAGTAGTTTTTGACTTGGACTAACTCATGTCCTATCAAAACCCTTTGTTTTATATTATTTTCTCACATGTTCTCTCAGGAGGACTATATATGGAATATGTTCAGAGCAGGGCACTCGCTGGAGCTAATAACCAATAGTACATGATATGGGGCTGAGCAGAAAGGACAGACAAGGAATCGTAGTTAGAAGGTACCTTAGATGTCATTGAATGCAAACACTTCATTTTACAGACAAGGGAAAAGGCAGGCCTGCCATGTTTACAGATGACAAAGCTGGAAGTAGACTTGCCAAGGCCCCACAGGGAAGCCAGAGTGCATCTTCCCACTGCAGTGTCTTCGCTCCATCAAAGGAGCACTTGTTCATGACTATAATCCAGAGCCTCTGACTCCTTCCTCACTTCTTGCAACCATCGTGTACTCCTTCGGGGAGTCCTTGACATGGGGTCCATGGGTAGATTTTAGAGGCCCTCACAATGTATGTTCCTGTATCGACATTTTTCTTAGGTGAGGGTTCACATCTTTCCTCAAAACGTCTGGGAGACAAAGTAGGTTAAAAATGACTACTTGGATTTGGTGAAAATGAGGAAGAAAAGAATCTCCTGAAAGCAGAGGAATAGAGACAGAGACAGAGGGAGGAACAGGGTAAAGGGGAGAGACAGCTAAAAAGGTAGAGATATGGGCGCCTGGGTGGCTCAGTTGGTTAAGCGACTGCCTTCGGCTCAGGTCATGATCCTGGAGTCCCTGGATCGAGTCCCACATCGGGCTCCCTGCTCGGCAGGGGCGCCTGCTTCTCCCTCTGGCCCTCCCCCCTCTCATGTGCTCTCTCTCTCTCTCATTCTCTGTGTCTCAAATAAATAAATAAAATCTTTAAAAAAAAAAAAAAAAGGTAGAGATATACAACAGCAGGACCACCAATCTGGAATGGATCCTTACTAGCCAACATTATTCTAAGGGGAAACCTTAAAACCTTATCTGGCTTCCCAGTCTCTGGCCAGACGGTAGCACAAGGTTATCTTTAGGATTCTCTTATCTCAGGATACTGCAAAGAAAACAAAAGGGTTTAGAAAAACTGAACCCGTAGCACATTATCTATCATTAACTTAAGTATCGGTATGAATACTAAAACCCAGTACTAAAATAGTATGGTATTAAAATACCCATCCCTTCCAGGACAGTGTGAAACTCCACACTCTGGGGGGAGAGGGGGCGTCTCTGCCTTGGCACTGAAGTCACAGAACCTGGAGTGTGACTTCTCTGCTTCTCCAGTTCTTTCTGGTCACATCCCATGTTGATAAACCCAGCCACTTTCCTGCCTTAGCTGCATTAATGGACATATCAATTGCATATCTCTCTTTGTCTGGATGTGTTTAAAATGCAGTGTTTGAACAACAAAGATGTTCTACTCCAACTAAGCAAATGGTATCAGCTGTATGTCTAGTGCTTCAACTATTTCTGGTTTTAGTTATCATTTCCTAAATCCGTGAAATGCAGAAGCACTTGAGGTACAAGTCTTTTCTAGAGCAAAATGCCCTCTGCTGCCCCCACCCCCCAGCTCTTCTGCAAAGCCTTGTAGTCCCGGGGCCAAGGGGACTTAGTCCAGGTACGTGGTAAAAAGATGCCTTCTTGGAGGGGGCACCTGGGGGAGCTCAGTTGGTGAAGTGTCTGACTCTTGATTTCAGCTCAGGTCATGATCTCAGGGTCCTGGGATTGCGCCCTGTGTCTTGCTCTGTGCTTAGCACAGAGTCTGCTTGACCCTCTCCCTCTGCTCCTCCCCGGCACGCTCTCTCTCTCAATCTCTCTGTCTCAAATGAATAGATAAAATCTTTAAAAAAAAAAAAAAAAAGATGCTTCCTGGGACACCTGGGACATGGACTATTTTCCCTATTACTGTGATGGTGGCTGGGGACGGGCATCTAGACCGAACCCCCTCCCCTCCTCCCTACTACTGAGAAGGTGTCTGGATGTCAGAATAGATACAAGGGGTCAAGGATGCTTCAGGGATTATAAAAGTTGAGAAAGGCTTACTTTTTGTAAACAGTAAATGTCTTCTAAGGAGAGATTTGCTTAATGAAAGTCTTCTTTTTATTCTGAATTCTCAGTTTTTTTCTGAGTATAGTCTGATTTGAATATATAAAAATGGATCTGGAGCTGCCTTGGGGGGAGGGTGGGGCATGGGTGGAGGATGTTTAGTTCCTCTGCCTGGAAAAGTCCAGGAGCTGGGAATGCGAGATATAATAGGGCCATAGAAGTATCCTTTAAAAGAAAGAAAGAAAGAAAGAAAAGGGGCGCCTGGGTGGCTCAGTTGGTTAAGCGTCTGCCTTCGGCTCAGGTCGTGATCCCGGGGCCCCAGTGGGGAGTCTATTTCTGCCTCTCTCCCCATGCTCGTGCTCTCTATCTTTCTCTTGAATAAATAAAATCTTAAAAAGGAGAAGAAGAAGAAATATCCTAAGATATGCCTCACATACAGCAATCCCAAGACATTTTGAAAACAGGGAAGATGGGGCACCAGGGTGGCTCAGTCGTTAAGCGTCTGCCTTCAGCTTGGGTCATGATCCCAGGATCCTGGGATCAAGCCCCACATCGGGCTCCCTGCTCAGTGGGAAGCCTGCTTCTCCCTCTCCCACTCCCCCTGCTTGTGTTGCCTCTCTCGCTGCCTCTCTGTCAAATAAATAAATAAAATCTTAAAAAAAAAAAAGAAAGAAAACAGGAAAGACTAGTATTCCATTTAATATTATTCATGTTATTAAAAAATCTTATTCATGCTATTATAGTATTACCCCACACTCTCCCCAAACATGCACACTCCCCTCTGTCTCCAGCAAATCTTTAATGCAGTTTCCTACACACTCAACAGCTTGACTGAATATGGAAATCAAAGAAGTGGCTGAATTCCTTCTGTGAGGGAAGAGTGTTGCAGAAGATAAACTGTACTGATGCAAAAGAAGCAGAAGCTGGAGCTAGAAGTGTCAAGGAAGGAAGCCCTCTTCCTCCCTGTCTACCAAGATGATTCCGCCAAATCATCTTGAGAGCTTCTGAGTTCCACGAAATGTGGGGAAGGGCTTTGAGCCCGTTCTAAGGGGCAAGGAGATTGCAGCTAATGATTCCCAAAGACCCATCTCCAGCCTTGACCTTAGAGCCACTTGCTTCCTCAATTTCTCCTCCTAGATATCTAACAGATAACTCGAATTGAAAACGACCCCAAACCAAACCTGATTCCATCTCCAAACAGGCTCTTCCCTTCATCTTCCTCATCTCAGTTACCAGCCCCACCACCACGCAGTTGCTCACGCCCCAAACTACAAGGCATCCTGGAATTCCCTTTCTCTCATCCTCCACGGCAGCAGGCCCCGCCAGCCCCACCCCCAAGACCTATCCCAAGTCTGGACATTTTGAAAGAGGACTCCACTACCTCCGTTCTGACCTGAAATTTTCTAATTGATTAAGGTCTTTTTTCCAGCTCATCTCTTTCTTTTTTTTAAAGATTTGATTTATTCATTTATTTGAGAGAGTGAGAGAGAGCACATGAGAGGGGGGAGGGTCAGAGGGAGAAGCAGGCTCCCCACCAAGCAAGGAGCCCGATGCGGGACTCGATCCCGGGACTCCAGGATCATGACCTGAGCTGAAGGCAGTCGCTTAACCAACTGAGCCACCCAGGCGCCCCTCCAGCTTATCTCTTAACTCCGGCAAAAGACCCTGCGGGCAAAGTATCCCCTCAAGAAATGACAGCCCTGAGCCAGCAAGCCCCCACCTGTGATTGATTCTAAGACAACAGTAGACCTGACTTTTACTGCCCACCTGCACGCACCCGCTGGCCTCGATCCCACATTTTCCTTATATAAACCTGGAAGTATTTTCAGGACTTTGGAGACAGTCTTCAGGACACTAGTCCCCGCCTCTGTCTTCCCAGTGCTGGTTACTGTTTCCACTGATCCCACTTAAGTATCAGCCACCATTCCTCAACTGAACTTGTACAAGAACCTCCTTACCAGTCATCCTGCCTCTACTCTGGTCCCAGTGCCCTTTATTCTACATAGCAGTAGCAGACAGATAAGAATGTGTGTGTGTCCATATCAGAACCTATCACTCTACCCCTTACAGTCATGCACGGCCTCCCACTGCAATTCAAACTCCACCCCCCCACCCCACGTGGTCTCTGGGGCCCCAAGTGACCTGGCCCTGCTCACCTCCCTGACCTCATTTCCTTCACACTCCTTGCATTCATGGGACATTATGCACACTGGCTCCTTACTACACGCACGTACGCACACATGCACACACACACACACACACACGGTGCCCCTTCTTGCTTCAGGGTCTTTGTACTTGCTACTCTTCTGCCTAGAGTGCTTTCCCCCTAAATTTCTGCCAGGCTGCCACAATCCCCGAACTCCTGGCCCCAGCCACTCTCTAGCCTTTACTTTGTTTTACTCCTAATAACTCTTATTTGTGGTTTGATTCGCATTTTTCATCTTTCTCTCCCCATTAGAATGGGAGCTCTGGGCGCCTGGGTGGCTCAGTTGGTTAAGCGACTGCCTTCGGCTCAGGTCATGATCCTGGAGTCCCGGGATCGAGTCCCGCATCGGGCTCCCTGCTCGGCAGGGGGTCTGCTTCTCCCTCTGCCCTCTTCCCTCTCGTGCTCTCTGTCTCTCATTCTCTCTCAAATAAATAAATAAAATCTTAAAAAAAAAAAAAAGAATGGGAGCTCCATGAAGGGAGAGACTCTTATCTGCCACTCCTACAATAGTCCCTGGCACAGAATAGTGCTCCATAGAATCTGTGGAATGAACACAGCTGAGTTTCACTTGTTTCCTGCTCTCTCTCTCTCTCAAAGGCCACCCAAACTGCAGCATCCGGTTCAAGCCTCAGGCATCAGAGTTTGGTCATTTGACGGTCCCCTTAAGTCAGGTAAACTGGACCACTGGTACCTGAAGGCGCCCTGCAGGCTCTCCTGGGAAAGGCAGAGACCTCACTAGAGCTGGCAGAGGCCCTGGGGAAATTCACACAAGACGGAAGTTTCACTCTTTCCAAGCATCCAGTTCTGTCCCTTTTCAAACCTCCCTAAAATGTTCTGCTCTTGCCATTTTCCTTTCCTTCCAGACCTTTTCCCAAAGGGTAAAACCTTTCTGTGTGACCTTTAGTCACGAACAACAAGTAGTGACTATAAAATTTACTTTTTCAGTTATCAGTTCAATGTTGCTCACTGGGTCTGATAACTGACCTAAATAAGCCATTGTGCCTCCAGTTATAATCTCTCTCTCTCCCTCTCTCTCCCCACCCCCCCATGTAAGGACACAGCAAGAAGAAAGCCATCTGCAAGCCAGGAAGAACACTTTCACTAGGAACCATATCAACAGCACCTTGATTTCGGACCTTCCAGCCTTCAGAATGATGAGAAATAAATGTCTGCTGTTTAAACCATCCAGTTCATGGTACTATGTTACAGCAACCTGAGCTAACAAAGACAGTGTTTTCCCTGAATTCATTCAGCAGAGATGTCCTGAGCCTGCCCAGTACCTGGGCTGTGGAATAAAGCATGGATAAAGCAGATGAGGTCCCACCTTCATGGTGGAACTTTGATTCTAATGGGAACGCTAGCCAAAGACAATAGGCAAGTAATCAAACGGGTGAATTTAGACATGATAAGAGCTATGAAGAAAACACAACAGGGAATGCAACGTGGAGTGATGGGAGGGGCTACTTTAGATCTGGTAGTCCAGGAAGGCTTTCTGGGGAGGGAACATTTGAGTTGAATGATCAAGAAGACCCAACTTAGAGATAACCTGGTGGAGTAACATTCCAGGCACAGGGGATCACAGTGTTAGCTTGTGCCTACGTAAGACCTGACAATTAGGGCAGGCAGGGAATGAATAGACCTTACATAGATTTGAGTATTAGTATCCAGAAGTGGAAGTGAGAGATACATAGCGAGAACATTCAAATAAGAACCTTCAGATTTTGAATACCAATGAAATAACGATGGTCTCACAATGGCCTTCTATTCCATGCAAGGCCGCCTCTGCATTTTCCACATCACCATCATCCATAGAACATGAAATATCTATACGACATCATGATGCTAATCACAGCTTCCAAGTCGGTTTTATTAGACAGCGGGGTACATTTGCTACAATTAACAGATCAATATTGACACATTAACTCAAGTCAGCACTTTATTCAGATTTCTAATGTCTTTTTGTTTTTCTGTTCTACGATCCCATCCAGGGTACCACACTGGACTTAGTCATGTCTTCTCAGGCTCCTGGTGGCTGTAATTTCTTAGGAATTCCTTGTTTTTGATGACCTTGGCAGTTTTGAGGACTATTAGCCAGGTATTTTGTAGAATGTCTCTCAATTGGGATTTGTCTTGATGTTTTTCCCAAGATGAGACTGCAGGGGTGCCTGGCTGGCTCAGTCGTTAAGCATCTGCCTTCGGCTCAGGTCATGATCCCAGGGTCCTGGGATCGAGCCCCGCATCGGGCTCCCTGCTCAGCGGGAAGCCTGCGTCTCCCTCTCCCACTCCCCCTGCTTGTGTTCCCTCTCTCGCTGTGTCTCTCTCTGTCAAATAAATAAATAAAATCTTAAAAAAAAAAAAAAAAGATGAGACTGCAGCTGTGGGTTATTGGGAAAAAGACCAGAGAGGTCAAGTGCCATTTTTAGCACACCATATCAAGGATACATGTTACTAACATGACTTATCACTATTGATGTGGACCTTGATCCCTTAGCTGAGTTCCAAATTATTTTTGATTCTTCACTCTCTCATGCCTTACACCCTGCCAGTCACTGGGCTTCTCCCAGTGGTTACCAGGGTCTCTCGCCGACCCCACTCGTTGGCATCATCCCAACGGCCTCGGGTCTACACTCCCAGCCCCTTCTCAGCACCCGGCAGCACCCTATCAGAGCTCTCTTCCTAAAATAAAACTCTTGTCATTCATATCCTTGCTCTAGTCAAATAACCCCACCTGGGAACAAAACTTCTGCTTTGGTTGGAAGATAAGTCCGAGTCTTCCAGCATCACATGCATGCCTTTTTCTCAACCTGACCAGAAGCGACTTTGCCGCTCTGTCTCCTGTCTGAGCTCCACACTAGCGCTCCTCGGATCAGGCCCTGGCTCGTTCCTTCCCGGAGGCCACTGGGCTGCATTTTGTCATGCTTCCGCTCTGTGGCAGTCATCTTTCGAGGCCCTTTCTAGAAACGGCTCACAAAAGGCTCCTTACAGTCAAGGAGTGTGGTGAATTCGAGTGACAAGCACGGTGAACAGGTAACTTCAGGGTACAGAAGTAGATGCTCGATACTAATTTGGCCGTGTGCAAATTGCACAAGGAACATCTGGGCCAAAGCCCTTCACGGTGGCTCAGGGACTTAGGGGGAGGTTACACAAGGGACATGATATCCGACTAAGACTTGAAGAAAGAAGAAGTTCACCAAGTGAACAAGAGGCGGAGAGAAGGTCTAGACAGTGGGTACATCGTGCACAGAATAAGTCATGGCCAGGAAGCAATTCAATATGGAAGTATTTGCAGAACGTAAATATGAGCTAGAATGTGACAAAACAAGCTAAAGAACTTGGATTTTATCGTTATTTTAAAGTGAAATAGAACAGAGGAGAAAAAGTTGGTTTGTGGACATTTCATTTGTTTCTGCATATATAACTATGTGTATGTCCTGCTTTGCAATGTAAATTATATGTTTTTACTGGAAATCACCTTTACATAAATGGTTTAAAAGACTGCTATACGGGGGGTGGCTGGCCAGTTCAGTTGGTGGAGCGTGCGACTCTTGATCTAAGGGCCGTTCAAGCCCTACGTTTGGCATGGAGCTTTAAAAAAAAAAAATGTTTAAAAAAGCAGTGCTATATGGAGAGGATATGTAGCAGGGCTGTGTGTTCCAACAGCATTTTTCAAACTTCTCCGAGGATAATACTAGTTCAGGGCCCCAACCTAGAATCAGAATGTCCAGAGGAAGCCTGGAAGTCTGCATTTTCATGAGCACTCCATGTATTTTTTATGAGGGAAACTTGGGAACTCTGAAACTCCGACAGCAGAGTAGAAAATAGATTGGAGCGGGAAGACGCAGAAGGTGGGAGACCACGGCTATTGTCTGAGAGACGGCAAGGCTTGAACCCCGGCAGTCGCCGTGGGGAACCGAGGAGGTGGTGGCTATGGAAGACCTGTAGGAGGTGGGCTATCAGATGTGGAGGTGCGGGACACACGGGCACCTAGGTCTCGAAGGTCTGTGTCTTGGATGCCTGCATCAATAGTGGTTACAGGAGAAAGAGAGTGGGTTTCAGGGGAAAATAATGAGTAGGGTTTTGGGACTTGGATTTGCAATGAAATCCGTCCTGAAGCGTGGGCATTTGGAGTAGGCAGCAGTGGAGCTCCGCACAGGGGTCAAGGCTGAAGATAAGAATTTCTGCGTCGTGAGGACATAGGTTAGAACATGACAAATACGATTCCCAGGGAAGTGGGTGGGGTCTGCAGAGCCAAGGACGTCAGGTGGAGGGCTTGAAGCTCTCACGGCTCCTACTCATCACTTCTGCCTCATGTCATTTCCCTCCACGAGAGAGCCCTTCACCCAGTCCCTTCCTCTGCCTAGCACAATCTCAAAAGCTCTCTCTCCAGCTCTCACCACCCAGGTGGAGCGATCCGCAGCGCTGAGCTACAGCGTCTCCTTGCACCCTCCTCCACCCGTTTCTGATCAGGGTTAGTGGTAGCCCGTTTTCCCTTTTTTCCCCGTGAGAGGCTTCAGAAGCATTTCTGGATTCCCAGCACCTAGCACAGCATAGAACCCTAACAAATGTTTGTAACATTGTGGTGAAGATTTCAGGGTACTTCATCAATTTGGACTTAAAATGCTAGCAATTTTGAAATGGTGAATGAATCCCTTCAAACACTAGCTACCAAACTATTATAAATTATTTCTGATGATATTTCGTGACAGTACCATCTGGTTTTTATCTTCCTATTTCTAGCTCAAGGATCTCACATTTTAATTTAACAATAGCTACTCAAATTAATCTCTTTATTCCATTGCATAGCCCAGGGAAGGCATACATTAAAGTCATGAGTGCCAAGTTCATTTCATCTTAATATGGAAAGTATTTGGGGCTAAATCACTCAGGTATTCTTTGACCAGAAATAGTGTGTACCTTGTGTAGCCCCAAAATCAGTTGCTGCATTTAAAAATAACATTTTATTTAAAATTTTCAAACATATACCATGGTAGAAAGAACATTAATAAGCCTATATGTACCCATTACCTACCTCAATAATTATCAACTCACAGCCAATTCTGTTTCACCTCTACCCCCAACTTCATTGCATATTATCTAGAAGCAAATCCCAGAGGGAGCATACTATGTCATCAGTAAAAGAAGAGACCTAAAAAATAAATAAATATATATATACATATATGTACATATACATATATATGTGTACATATACCTATATATATAATTACACCTCAAAATATTAATAGTTCTTTAATATTATCAAATATTCAGTCATTGGTCAAATTATCAATTCTTTCTTTACAGTCTGAAAAAAAAATTAAGGTCTAAATAATGCCCCCACATTGCCATTGGTTGATATGCCTTTTGAGTCTCTTTTATTAATCTACAGGTTTCCTGGGGCACCTGGGTGGCTCAGTCAGTTAAGTGGCTGCTTTCGGCTCGGGTCATGGTCTCAGGGTCCTGGGATCGAGCCCTGCGTCGGGCTCCCTGCTCAGCAGGGGTCTGCTTCTCCCTCTCCCTACTCTCTCTCTCTCTCAAGTAAATAAATAAAAATCTTTAAAAAATTTTTTTTAAATCTATAGAGTTCCCTTTCCCTCTGTGTTTCTTGTAAATTATTTATTGAAGATATCAGGTCCTTTGTCCTATAGAGTTTCCCACAGTCTGATTTTTTGCTGCATGTACTCCCATGGTAGAGTGTAACATGTTCCTCTGTCCTCTGTACCTTCTGAAATCAGGAGTTGGAATGAGCAGCTTGATGAGACTTGGATTTTTTGGCAGGAGTTTTTCAAGGGCGTTGGTGTGTTCTTCCTTTCTCCATGAAGAGGTAAATATTGTTTGGTTGTCTCTCTTTTTGTCGTGTTAGAAACAATGAGTGATCTTCAAGGTCTAGACACATTCGTTCTCAGAGAGTTGCAGAAAGGTGATACTCTAATTTCTTCATTCCTTTGTCATTTAGCTGCTGGAACACTTCTGCAAGGAGGAGCTTCGCCTCATGTATTATTCAGTTACCCAGGGATGTAAGTGACATCAAAAGGTCGAAAAAATAATAGAATTTATATACCAGTTTTCAAATCAATAATGAATTGCTTCTCAGTCATCTTCTAGATGGGACCAATTTTTTGAGCATCATTATGAACTCATAGACTTAAACATATTTGATGTTTCAACTTATTGCCATTTATTATCCTCTTAATGCTCAAAAAGTCCCATCTTTGGCCAGTGGGAACCTCATTGGGTTGGCTCTTGGGTTCTTTTGAAACAACCCTAGTAGTCTTTGATAGCTTCCTCAACTATCCATGTGACAAGATGCTTCGAGTTTCTCTTGTTCATTTCCTGCGCCAGACCTGAATCAGCCTGGCTCCTTTTAATGGGAGATGGTATTGCAAGACCTTATCAGGGCTCTGGGGGTGCTCCCTGCACCTCCGTTGATTTGACCTTGACTTTGAAGTTTTAAATTTCTCTATGTACCCGTGGCTAGTGGTGCAGACTCCAGAGGTAGACTGCTTGGGTTTGAATCACCGCTCTACCGTTATTCGGTATGTGACACTGGGCCAGTCTACCAACTTCTCCATGCTTCAGCTTCTTCAATTATAAAAGGAGAATAATAACCTTACCTAAATTCATAAGACCCTGGTGAGATTTAAATCAGAAAATTCATGTAAAATGCCTAGAATAGAGTCTGGCCTGGAGGGTTGAGTAAAAGTTGGCTATTAATATTCTTATTACTAATCTCTTCCCAGCCTTGTCACTGTTGCCTGCTCACAATGGGGGTCATCTGGGGTGTCATACAGACTTACATTTTATTCGTATCTAGTGACACACTGGTTTATTTTAAAAAATTATTTTGAAGTCCCATCTGCAGCATTCATCCCACTAGCGTGCAGCTCTAAATGATGCAACTCTCACACATA